AATCGTTTTACGTGCTGAATGCTAGAGAAAGAATCTTCTCTTGCTTTTTATATTATGCGTGTTCTCTGCTACTTGAAATTTTGAAAATGCATAAAATGGACTTATGATACGACTCGATAATACAATGTACTTGGTGATTGAAACATAACTTGTTTTTCTTTTAATGAAAATAATATCAATCCTTGAAAGAATTTAGAAACACATTGATCAAAGTGTTTAACCGGTTGGATGGTTGGTTAACATCTTTTTACTTATAGGAATATTTTATAATAATTAAAACAAGATGAATGTCACAGAAAATGTTAAACAGTATAAATAACTAGATAGTAAATGAAATATTATAAATATTCCTTTTCGAGTGGCAGTCAACGTGTTAATTAATTAATTCGTCACTATTTTTGAACCAAACAGCGGGACACTCTATAAATGTAAATGTGAATAAAGTTGAGAATAAACTTACAAACTGTTTCATCGAGGTATACGCAAAACAATTTTCAGACTGTAAGAACTTCTCGTGTACTACAAGTACTATAATCTTTTCTAAATTTCACAGAATTGAAAAAAATTGACAGTAAAGAAGAAGAAAAGAAAAAAAATATTAATCCTTGGAATTTCCCTTCCGTAAGTGCACTATTAATAGTTAAAAAAAAAAAAAAAGAAAAGAAAAACGAAATCTGACAAAATTGCTGAGCGTCGTCGTGCATCGATGCACCAGTTAATTAATTCATCCTTAACGAGTTGATTATTTCTACGTTTACAACTATTACAAACAATTTCAATTCTCCTGTAACATTTCCCTCCAGTTATTACAAGATCACGGTCCCGGGGAAAGTCATTTACAAAATCCGAGGGGAGGGGGTGAGGAATTAAAAGCAAGAGGGACACGCGAATGGAATAATTTAGAACAGGCGAGATAGAAACAATCCGCGAGCGATAGGAAAAACAGAACGAAGGTGGAAACAATGAGAGGAAACGAGATAAAACGGCGTAAGGAAGTAAGGATGAGAATTGGAAGATTAAACTAAATTTTAAAAAAAGAAGAAAAAGGGGCAAAAGAGAGAGAAAGAGAGAGAGAGAGAGAGAGAGAAATAAAAGGGAATCAGAGCGAAAATATAAGGAAGAAATAGAGAACGAACGGGACGCAGGGTGAAAAGAAAAAAAAAAAAAAAAAAGGGAAGAAAAGAAAGAAAGAGCAGGGGCGTGTAACAAGAGAGAAAAGAAAAGAGAGTAGTAGGAAAGATCGAGACTCGATTGTATCGTTTATTCTTGCGTCCAGGACAGCCGATTATTTTTCTCCTTGCACCGTGTGTCCCGGAGCCTTTATTGTGACAGCGCCTTATTGTCGTCCACTTCTGGAAAATTGCGCGCCATGAATGCGCCTTTAAGATCGCCGGGGTCAGTGGATCTTCTGCCTTGATCCTACGGGATCCCTTATGCAGAGACTTTCGTGAGAAGATTGCCGGGGAATCGACGCGACACCCAACACCGACGGAGATTTTCTTTCTCGTGTTCGGTTTCGGTGGACGTCGCCTTCCTAAAGGGCTTTCCGAGATGTTTTTAAACGACGTTATTCCTGGCCGTGTCCGATGAGAAATATCGCCAGTGGAAAACTATTAGAACCGTTTTGATATTCGTTGGGGAATTTAGGAGGGCAGGTGATTAACGGCAGATAAATTCAGACGCGGTGAAATTCATAAACGCGCAAGTTTAAAAAGATCTGTCGTTTGAGGATATATTTGGGTGAAAAGAAATTAGAATTCTTCTGATACTTTCGCGAAAGAAGAATAGGCTTGTAGAAATTTTCATGCTATTGCGCTTGGTGTTAATGACTTGATTTAACGGATACGCCCTTTTGATTTAACAGAGCGGCATTCTTCTCATCGTTTGATGAATAATTTTATCAATGTTTGAGACTTATAGATATGAAACATGAAAATTAGGAAGCTGTACGTAGAAATTGGTAAATGTGTAAGTATAAGTTTAATTAATTTACCAATATTTAAAGTTTATTAATATGTATCATCTATGTCGATAAATAAATTGATAAACGTAGAACTGTGGAAAAGTGTCGCAGATTCTCCGCAAATCTGAACGTCGTCGCAATTACAATAATCATCGAAGGGCGCACTTCGAGAAATATAATTAAATATAATCAAAAAGAAAAGGAAGAAAATCACTCGAAACAAACGTTGTTTATCACTCCATTGATACAACTAGAAAACCTACAACACCTAAATCCACCAACGCGTGAAAGTAAAAAAAAGAAAACCTCATCTGCCGATTAATTAAAATAATCGAAGTTTCACCATCGTCGGGCACGGGAATTTATCTGGCAGAGCGATCGTTCTCGATCTGAAAACGAGTTTCGAATAATACGATGCAATTAATTACGTGGTGGATATCGAGACGGAATCTCGTAAAGTTGATTTAGGCGGGAAACTAACCGGGGAGGAGTGCAAGCCGAGCGCCGCCGTCGGCTCGAAACTTGCGATTCGATTTTAGAATCGGAAGGCTTGCCGGTCGCAACCAAGATGGCAAAGTGCATCTGTCCTTCGATCTCACGGAGAGAGAGAGAGAGAGAGAGAGAGAGAATTTTATCGCGAGCACAGAATTCGAGAGAAGCTTCCCTCGGAGGAGGGAAAAGTACGCCGAATGAAATTTTCAATCGGCCACGGGATAGAATTTTCAATCAATTTCGAGAGCGACGAAAGATCGAGCGAAGTTGGCGAACTGATCCCTGGATTCTCTTCGAGGCCACTGGCGTTCGAATCTTTGACCCGATTTAGGGGCCAAGAATGTTTGGCAAGCGAAAAATCGGATACTTGGCTCGGTGTGAACCAAGGGATGAAAATTACGCGCGTGGAATGGCGCAGGAACGAGGTAAACAGGGTTTTGTTCTCACGAAAGCAGTAGAACTTACGCTTGAGATCGGGATCTTATTCATATTTCGAGCGATTTTAAGGTATTTCGTGTAATTTTAGACAATACAACTTGCGCAATAAAAAATAATAAGTAATACCTTACAACTTCAAGAGAGTGACTTCGAATTTTTATATTAGAAACTCTTACTCGAATTTCTTTTCAAACAAGTTTTCAAATGAAACACGTGCAACTACATATGCAAAACTTTTTTTTTTTTTTTTTTTGAAGTTTTAAGATGGTGATTTCAAAATTTGCCGTTTGAAGTGGTAAATTTAGTTTAGATTGTGAATGTTAATATTGGAAAGTATAGTTTATTTTCTAATTCCTATTTCAAATTTGAATTAAGCTAACCTGACGAGAACGAAACACATGTAATTCTACGATTTTTCACACAACTTCGAGCAAGCGTTTAGTATTTACATGTTAATTTAAAAATTTTACTTCACTTTTCAACTTCTTCGCAAGTTTTTCATCAACTTTAAGACAGTGATTTCAAGCTACGTTGCTTCAAGCGTTTAGTATATTTTCGATTTTCTTAAAACATGTTGCTTCGAGAGCACCTCTGTATATTTTCCCACAGATTTGTAATAATTCCTCGTAAACTACAATTCCGCGAACGGTCCACGCTTAAAAATTACATCAAACTACGAGAGTCAAGCTACGTGGCAGAACATTGAAGTTAATTTCCAATGATGAAAACGCTCAAGAGACTCTCGTTTTCGAACTCAAGCGCACTTCCTACTCATTGTCAGTCCCAATTGTGAAATACCGACAACAAATGTTTGAAGTTAGACATTTCGGCTCGATGCAACATCCGTTAGAACGTCTAAGAATGTCGTTGGTTTTTGTTCTAAGAAACATGTGTTTAAGAGTCGCGGACGGTGTTCTAGGAAAACGTAGGCACCAATTTACGTTGGAGAAAAATCACATCTATAGAGAGAAGACTTTGGAAACTAAGCTGGTATGAAGTATTGAAATCTGTTCAACGTCTTCCGATTTAACCTACTGCAACATCATACGATTAGTGATTAACGAATAATAAATTCTCCTTAAAACTTCCTTTAAAATCTAAAATAACCTTGATTTTAATTTGTCCTAATGTAATTTATTTTACGAAATGGTACAATTAGTCAGTTTCTGATCACAAGTTGAAATTATATCGACTAATTTCAAATTCTTCCACAGTCTCTAGAATTGAAATATTTTTAGTTTCTGCAGTAAAATTTTATTTATTACGAAATATTCTTAGCTCCTTTTTCCTTTTCATCTAAACGTAATTTACAATGTGCCAACTTAATTTCAAATTAAACATTCGAAGTTTCACGAACGGATATTGATTCCTCTAATATTTTTAATTCTTTCCAGAATGTAAATCTAACGTAGCACCATTCTGTCGAACGCTTCCTGATTCCTTAGCTCGATTTGCAAATAGTACGATTAATACCGTTGAAGAATACCGTTGTCTGCAATTTTCTCCAAACTCCAAGCCTAATTTGCCACAATGATACAACATGTTTAATACCTTGTAATCAGCACGACTTACAGTAAATCAATATAAGCGATAATTCAATCGTTCGAAGCGAAGTATTATCGTCTTTCTGCCAGTCACGACTTCGTCACGATTAACGAGACCTCGACTACCAACGAACGAATAATCTCTTTAAAATTCAAATCTCTCTAGAATTTATCTCAAACTTCAAGGACCGATACAGAAATCAGAAATTTCTTCGTAGAAGCGTCCACTGGGAGTTTTATGCAACTACCGCGCCCGCCTATTGCTCCACCATTGCGCGTTTTAAAACATCGGTCTGTATCGTCTGCCCTGCCAAATTTCGCGCGAAACAAAAACAGAAAGAGAAAATATTTGAAATTTCGTACATTTTGCAAACGACCCTTGATTAATTAAACGTATTATCAACCGTCGCGCGAGAGCTATAAAAAAAAAAAAAAAAAAAATTGTATCTTGCGTAAGTGACGTACAAAATCCTACGTAGGTAAACTCGTCGTCAACCCCTTTGCCGCTGACACCTAACTCTCCGCGGCGTTAACCTTGAAACAAAGGAAATATGCTCCTTTACCTTGTCGTCGTCGTGCGGGGTGGGCGGCGTGGGCGGCGTGTACATGCGGGGTGCGTAGTCTCCGATCGAGGAAGCGCCACCGGTGGAGGAGCCTTGGCTCCTCGGCGGGCTTAGGTCCGGAATGCTCGCGTGATAGTCCTGCAATCCGGTCGGTATCACACCCGTGGGCATCACAGGACGATACTCCATCGTGCGCACCTCCATCTCGATCACCCTCTATCACCGGTATCTCCTTCACACCTGGTCCTCCTTTCAGCCGCGACGTTAACGATCGCGTGCCCGTCTTCGCGGTCTTGGTCGCGGTCTTCCTCGTCTTGGCTGTCGTCTTATCGACGAATATATCCCGAAACGGCGTGACAGAGGTAATCTCGCGGCGACCTTGAGCCACTCTCGACTCTCGCGCCCGTGTCTCAGCTGCGACCTTGCGACCGGACGCGGTGGTAGAGCGCGATCCCCGGTATCATAGCAATATCATCGGAAACACACTTGTTCGCTGATTTACCACATACAACAACAACAACACTTTTTATCCTCGCGGTTTGCCTGCGTCTCTCGTTGCTTTTTCACCTTTGTAATGTCAACTGTCCCACTTTGCAACGAAGTCCTCCTGCCCCTCGGTTACGCGCGATATCTCAGGCGAGCAAAAGTAGAGTGAGAGAGAGAGAGAGGGAGAAATAAAACAGAAAAGACACAAGCAAAACCGACGCTTATCGAACGAATAATATCACCATGAGGAATCAACATGTGCATGCACGGACGGCTTCAGTTCTCCTATGTACGTTCCCCTTTTTTTCTTCTTCTGTCTGTCTTCGCTTTCTTTCCCCTTTCTTTCTGTTTCTTCGTCTCTCTGCTTGACATGCGTGCTCTCCTTCGTTTTTGCTCTCGGACCCGACGAATTGATGCACACAGAGAGAGGGAGAGAGAGAGAGAGAGAGAGAGAAAAGGTCGAGGGGAGAGAAAGTAGATCGGTCGCCGAAAACTGGCCACTTTTCTGTATGTACGCACGTACGCATGTACGTGGTGCAAGAGGACGCAAGAGCAAGCGATTTTCTCTCGGGCACACTCGACGACGGATGCGTTCCGGTAGCTTAGGGTGATGCTCACCCCTTGGCTACTTTTTGCCGACTGAATGTTTTGCGCCGCCGTGGCGGCCCTCGCAGCGCGGCTGGAGCGTGTGCTACCCCCACTCTCGGCGCCTCGCAAACCGAGTACTCTCCTGTGCTTTCCCTCTCTCACTCTCTCTCTCTCTCTCTCTCTCTCTTTCGCACCGCTGCCCACTCTAACCTAGCGCTCGTTCTCTCCCTTCCACTATCATAACCACGCAGTCTTCCCCCATCACTCGCTCCAGCTATGAGGAGAGGAGACAGAGAGAGAGAGAGAGAGAACGAACGAACGAGTACGAGAGGGGAGAGAGGAGGGAAACGTAGAACGCGTAAGAGGGATAAAGAGCGAGTGAGAAAGACACGGACTAAGCGCATACGTGAGAGGGGACGGGAGGGATAATTAAGCGGGCATATCGCGTCCTCCGTATGCTCTGCTCGTTCCTTTTCTCTGTCTCTTTCTTACACACCGTGCTCTAGCCACGAGGATATCTTTATCTTCGTCGTGTTATCCCCTCTGCCGCTGTTTTCCTCCTCGTCTCTTTTACCCTCGCCTCGAGACGAAGCGTCTATTTTGTCCGGGTGCAGAGTTCTTCTGTTGCTTGAAAATCTCCTCCTTCTCTCTCTCACTCTCTCTCTCTCTTTTTCTCTTTCCTCTTCTTTTTTTCCTCGGCTGTTTTTTTTTTTTTTTTATTACTCTATACATACGCAAACGTATGTATATGGAGGAAAGAGGCAGTGAAAGGATTTCGAGCTGACGATATCGCCTTTTTTCTAACCCTCCGATTTTTTCCCTCGTTTTCTGCAGTTTTTTATGATTCTCTTTCCATTCTTTCTTTGAGACTTCGATAAGAATGACACAGAGAGGATACTGTGATTTTTATTTCTTTTTTTTTTCTTCTCCCTAAGTTTCTTGGGAGTTTCTTTCTTTCTGTTTCTTTTTTACGCTGGAGTTTCATTCGGAGTGATAGGCTCGGGGTTGACGAGCGTTTGGGAAAATCGGGGTCCGATTTCGGGACACGAAAGTGGTGAATGCGTTTTCAGGGTAGTGCGAGTCAATATTGGCTCCGGAGGACTTTCGTGGTAAAATTGATATTGCTTAAACAAGAGGCTGTGCAAGGTTCGAGGAGGGGGTTAATTAAGCAGCCGCGTCGACTGCTCTTTACCCTCGCCCTCCGTCCACTTTATTTTATCAAACGAACTCTGCGAGGAAATTCTCCGTCACCACGGTTTTTCTCTCTTCCGTTTACATGCAACATGCGTTACACGCTTTTGCTGGTAATTTTCAAAAAATTCAATCAACGTTACGAAAAGAAATCTTGTATCGTGTGAAGTGTCAGTCGCGTTAAAAACATACGCAATACGTCAAAGATATACACCGATTATCAGTTGCTTTAATTTTCAAAAAATTTTCAACAAATGTTTAAAAAAAAAAGAATTCAATGAAATTCAAAAAATTCAAGAATCGTACACTGCACGAAGCATCAATTGCATTAAAGAAGAAAACATTTATTATAAATTGTTGTAAATTGTAATAAACATTTCTTACAAATTACAATAAATATTTATTACAAAATATTCGCATTTCAAATCTGCAAAAGCTGGTGTAATACGAAACGTTTCATCTGGACAATTATTCAAAGAAATTGCAACAACAGAAATTAATTATTCGCGAAACAGACGTGCAATTAATTCGAAAGAAATTTTAGACAAGAACAACTGTGATATTCCAAGAATTCTTGAATTTTAAAATCGACAATGGTAATTTGAAAAATTCCAGGAATAATTAAAAAAATGAATATGTAAATCTAATTGAATCTATTTTTTTAATTCTAGAACTCGCAGCAAGCAACAGCTGCTCGGAATACTACGAATCGATGGAAATACACGTGCTGTATTAACTTTATGTGGAAACGTGACGAATCAAATCTACAAATCCTATTGCCCAAGACACTTGTAATAAAATATCCTCGCAGTTATATGTTCTGTCGACGACTGAAAATGGTCCCTAAACGAGAGTAACCTGTTCTCGCAGACACGTTCTACTCAAGTTCCATCAAAATCCGCGGGACAGCGAGGTCCATCTGAATCGACGAGTTCACGTGCCTGCTAACTTCCCTCTTGCGCCCGATGGCCTTTGTTTCTCAAGCCTCTCAGTCAGTCCCTCGTTTTTAGACGTCTCAAGATATGTCTAAGATACTGGGCTCCCTCTTTCACCCGGCACGTAATCCAGCAGCTCATTTACAACATTTTTCGATGCAACGACGATCTAACGAACCGTTTTGTCGCTTATCATTCCCTCTCCTTTCTCTCGCGCACAGACTCTTGAGCGTTTCTATATGTGTGTGTGTGTGTGTGTGTTTTTTCACGAGGAAGGCTGATAAATTAGTTTCAACAGAAAACATGAGCATGAAGGGAGTTCATATCTGAGAGTGGTTTCCAGATGCGTTTGGTTTTCCAGCTCATTTCGATTTCGTCATACGCCACGCACATCTAAGCTTCAACATCTTAAAATTTCATTCTGAATCTTCAATAGAATCGAATTCATTACGCGAGGTGTTGTTAATTTTTAATACTGTGACGAGAGAATAAAAAAGTAACGAGTAGATTTAAGACCGATAAGGAAGAACATCGAAACCGAGAATATAAGTCGAACAATTTAATGACTGATTATTTCGATTGCATAAATTAATTGAATATTCCTTGAACTTTGCATAGAGTAATTTTAATATAGCATCGTATAACTTAGAATGTATCAATATGGCAATAGAAAATATTCGAGAAAAATCATTCGAGAGAATAATTTGCAGATGTATAGCAATATAATACACTGAATGATAACTACGAATAAGGATATTAATATTCTTTGAATAAATTCCTTTCCTTTTAATACTAGGATCCAAATACTAGTTGAGTTGTCAATACACATGATAAATTTTTAGTGATTATCACACCACCAGTGACAGTCCATCTTCAGGTGTGCGATCGTTTAAAAATTATTCACAAAATAATGCGTTGAAACGTCTGTAACGTCGTTCACAATTTCTGTACTCTGTAATTCTTCCGAACGACTTATATAACGTGAACAGAAATTTCTCAGAGTCGTTCCATCTCACGAGGAATTCCAATGGAAAAAAGCGATCGAGGATGGAGGGGATCCTCGATGACCTACCACAATCAATGTCGAAAAATACCGTTCGCCTCGTGAATATTCAATGATATTCTTGTTGATGTGTCAGAAGCAAAGGACGCCGAATAAATTCTATTTTAAAGATGCAGTCTCGTTCTTTTTTTCCGCGTGTTTTTTTTTCAGACAAAACAACTCCGGTGAAATTTAAAAAAAGAAAAAAAAAAAAAAAAGAGGAACACTCGAGAAACTTGGAAATTGAACAAATTCGACGAAGAAATTTATTATAACCCTCAATGTGCAAATGTACGTTTCTCCTACGTTTGATGCGTTTTTAATTAGATGATATCTCCAAACATTCAAAATTAAGATTGAATAATTAATTTAAACACATCATCACTGTGAAAATTTAGTTGAATTGCCCACTTTAATTGTTAATTTAGTAATTACGTAGCAACGTTTCAACAATCTGATAATTTTATAATCACTTTAGCAATTTTAATAATCGTAAATATGATAAATAAATTACAAGGCTCCACGTTCACGCGACGAGGGTGAAACACTTTAAGAAACTCCTCCAGTTTCTCTATCAAAAATTCCAAATTTTAATTGCCCGTTATTCTTTCCAAGAGTTGTCCCCAGTGTGAATGGGGAGAACACATCGTTATGCAACTGGCCCGTAGGAACAGTAGAGACCGTAGACAATTCGAATTTCGTTGTGGATCCATTCAGAGGGAATTGCAGCGTCATCAGAGTCGACCTTCTGTTGTTCTCCGCGCTTAAGAATCCACCTGGGTGCAAAATGACGCATCGTTTCTCCCTCGATCCAGCTTCTCTGTAAGCTTCCCGCGTCCCGGCTAAACACGTGGTTCCCCTGGACGTGTGTATCACAGGGAGAGACGGGAAATTTGTCGAAAACATCTTAACGTTTCCACAACTCCTTCCCATCCTCGCGTTCCACCTCTTCTTCGTTAGTAGTTGTCAAATATTTCCCACAGTTTAGCTCAATCCTTTGTAACTAGAGTTTCGTTAACTCACGAGGAATTTTACAATTATTCAGAGGACGAAGTAATTGTTAAATCTGATACTATTACTATTACGATACACTGATGGAATAATAAAGTGGAATGATAAGGCTTTAAAATTTAGAATTTCCACAACGTGAAATATACAGGGACAAAGTTCCAAATCCAACACTATAAAACTATCGAACGTCCCGCGCAATTAATTATTAGACATATTAACAATTAATATAATCATACTTCTTCCAACATATTTCTTCGTCCTTCGTCCCAAAGGCAGAAACACAGGGAGGAAACAACAATCCCTGATTTTTGGGGATGAAACGAAAGAGCAGAGAGAAAAGAAAAATCAGGACGTTTCTGGCGCCACGGGGGCCAAACTACGACGCTACACTTCCCCTTTCTCACCCTTCTTTCTCCCCCGCCAAAAAACGACGTACAGCCAGCTACTTTTCCTTTTCTCTTCCCGCTAAACGCAGTACGACGACTCAATTCGTCGTCCTTCCCTCCCCAATTCTTCTTTCCTTTCCCTTCGCGCTATCTGCGGTTGACCGACTTTTTTGCAATGTTCTGTCCCGTTGTTGCTCCGTCCACCCCCTTTTTCGTTTTTCCCTCCCTCCAACCCCCGATCGTCCACCATTTTTCTCTTTTTTTCGCTGGCTCTGTGTGTTTCTGGCTTCCTGTTTCGCGTGGATCAAGCCAGAACGAGTCCGAGGGTGACTGCTGGACGTTTGCTTGTTGGGAAGGAGGGAGGGAAGGGAGGAGATCGAAATCACTCGAGGGATGGATATTTGATTTTTCCCAATGGATACGTTTTTTCTATTTTTTTTTTTTTTTTCCAGACCCTTTTTTTCCGGGGTTGGC